TCTTGTACTAGGCCAGATCCACCAAATTGCATGGCTTCACTGTTAAATACTGAGGCATTTTGACCCGCTATGGGCCTCGGAATAGGTTTGTACCAAGACTGAGGTGATGGTCTTTCATAGTTCTGATTACTAATTTGACCATTAGAATGTTCATTAACTTGCATAGGTTGTTCATCTCTAGCCAATCTTTGCTGAGGGACATTTAAAACTTCCTCTATGTGTCTTGCGTTTGTTGTTTGGTGATTATTCATTCGATCCAAAAAGGATGTTGCCCACCTTTCCATCGTGTTTATTAATAACTGTCCCATGGCATCTACTAGGCCACCCTATGGATTTATTGGCTGAGTAGATGGAACAGTGGATGGTCCAATTCCTTGGTCTCGTCCAATATTACGAACATGTGGTACTTGTTCTGAAGTGCTGGTCTGTTCGACCATAGGTTCTGATAAAATGGGCGTTTCCACAGGATGTATTGTCACATTATCCTCTGGATTAGGTATCTCTACCTCTCCTTCCACGCCTTCTTCCAAGCGTTCATTTTGTCCTTGTCTCCTACGTCTAGCCATTTCAATTAGTTCCACTGGGCGTGCCAAAAATATATGTTGGCTTTTTTTACTTTCGAAGGTTATTATTGTAATTGTGAGCGTGCCAGTAAGGATCAATCAGTCCTTACAGAAAATTAATTGCCAACCAATTATCAAACGATTGTGTTTTAGTTCTTTCAGCCTCAATGAAGAGAACTTTTACTGGTGGCTTGATTTAGGAGAATTAAGCAAAATAACAATTAAATGAAAAACAGTTGAAGTATTTCATTAAAGATGAAAAAATTACAATGATCCAAACTTAGCCTCGTAGAGGTTTACAGCAACAATCTACTTGAAACTACTCCTATGAACGAAGTGCAGTGCAGGAATTTAAAGTACAAGAAATGTAAGACTGGAAATATAAAACTGGAAAGGAAAATAAGTATAATAAGACTGGTTTTTGGATCTGAGTCTGGGGGCTTTTTCTGGAGCCTTCTCTGCTATTTATACTGCTCAAGGATGACCATCGAACTGCATTTCTAACCATCGAGTTGCTCCTCCATGATCGCTGATCATATTGCCTCAGAGATTAGCTCCATTACGTCATTACTTGCAGTTAGGCTTCTCTCCTAAATTTGAATTTGAAATGTGAGTAACTGTTGAAGCCACATCACCTTGCATCTCTTTGTTGATCCACTGCTATTCAGATCTCGTAATAACCAATACTAACTGCCACGTGTACGATTAGGATCGAAGACTTGAATAGTCTTCCTATATTATCCTTATTTTGCCACGCGTCGAATTGTAATTGGCTTATACAAAACATGTAGCCAACACCCACTGATTTCTAAATTGATTTTCGAACTTTGATTTCTAAACCCACTGAGATAACAGAAAGTTTCTAAACTGATTTGTAAACCCACTGATTTGGAACTTTTGAAACTTTTTGGCCCTTTTTGGAATAAACCCACTGTTTTTTGGAACTTTTTGTTCAATCTAAAGTTTCTATGATTTTTGGAACAGATTTTGTAATCAAACAAGTTTTGTTTTTTTTTTTTTTATCAGTCGGCTTTGATTGTTTTGTAATCAAATTCGATTCAATCAATAAAAAGTTGTTTCTGTTTTATTGTTTTATTGGAACCAGATTTTATATCTCTATTTTATTTTTTTATTTTTTTTGGGGGGGCTTTGATTTAAGCAATAAAAATTTATTTGTTTTGTATGTAAGGTCTAGGAATTTGATTGAATCAAACTCCTAACATTAAAAAAATAATGATTATTTTTAATTATAATGGCTTGGATTGTTTTTAAAGATGTTATTTTTAATTATAATGGCTTGGATTATTTTAGAAGAATAATGATGTCCGATGAATGAATGAATAAAGATGTTATTTTTTTTCATTCAATGATTATTTTTGTAAGATAAAATTTTTTAGAATGAATATTAGTTTTTTTTTTTGGGTAAAATTATTGAATTTAATATAATATAAATTTTTTTATCAGTGGACATTAATTTAATATAATTTTTTTTTTGTTTTGAAAAATTATTGAATTTAATATGAATATTTAATTTGTTCAAATAAAAAATAATATGAATTTTTAATTTGTTGATTTACATTAGTTTTCCTAACCTGAACAATTTGGTTTTGATGGACATAAGGGCAATATTGGTATTTAAAATATATTATGAGGGTAATCTTGGAAATTACTTATTTATATCCCACAATATATTTTATAAAACAAACATGGATAATATATATCAGGTTTTATATATCAAGTCAACAAACATGATTTGAGAGATATACTATCTAATACATATATCTTATTCATTATATATCTTGACTATATCTCACATCATATTATATCCTCCATTTTATATCCAGTAAAATAAACGGGGCCTATATGTTTGTATGTTATGCATGAAAGTGAGTGTAATAATAAATATACAATATTTTTAAGCTTACTTATTATGTGACCTAAGGACACATGTTACCAACACTTATAATATATTATGGATAATAATTTATAATTAATAAAAGCTGATTTCCTATTTGGAAACAAGTACTAATCTCAAATGTTTGTCTGGTCAAATGGCAACACCGAATAATCCTCAACTTTCACAATCAGGCTGCTGTGAGGCACACATCTTTGACAATCTTTCCCAATCTAATGAGTAATAACCAAACACAATCCAAGTCCAAGAGCTGAAGTATCAAAGCACATCTTATTTATTTCCAATGCGTGCTCTTGGGTATGGCAGAATATTCTATGAGGAAGGGATCTACTTAAAAAAGGGCTTGTTTGGAGCCTTTGGGAATGGTCAGCTTATTGACCCTTTTGAGGATAATTGGATTCCTACAATTGGGAATAGTCTTATTGGTCAGGGTGTGGGTAGATTTTTCTCCTCTTTTATGTTTTGTTTAGTTGAAGGATTTAGGGAGGGATTTGAAAAAGAAAAAGGAAAAGGTGTGTAAAACTAACGTCGTGTTTGATTGAAGATTTGAGGAGGGATTTAGAAAGGAAAATGGAAAAGGTAAGTGAAATATGAATAAAACATACCTATATTTCACCTAATTTCACACACTTTTCCCTTTCCCTTTCTAAATCCTTCTTCAAATCCCCCAACCAAATACCACATAAGTGAAATATAAGTATATTTTATTCTCATTTCACCTAACTTATGTTTGTCTGGTCAAATGGCAACACCGAATAATCCTCAACTTTCACAATCAGGCTGCTGTGAGGCACACATCTTTGACAATCTTTCCCAATCTAATGAGTAATAACCAAACACAATCCAAGTCCAAGAGCTGAAGTATCAAAGCACATCTTATTTATTTCCAATGCGTGCTCTTGGGTATGGCAGAATATTCTATGAGGAAGGGATCTACTTAAAAAAGGGCTTGTTTGGAGCCTTTGGGAATGGTCAGCTTATTGACCCTTTTGAGGATAATTGAATTCCTACAATTGGGAATAGTCTTATTGGTCAGGGGGTGGGTAGATTTTTCTCCTCTTTTATGTTTTGTTTAGTTGAGGAATTTAGGGAGGGATTTGAAAAGGAAAAAGAAAAAAGTGTATGAAACTAATGTTGTGTTTGGTTGAGGATTTGAGGAGGAATTTAGAAAAGAAAATGGAAAAAGTAAGTGAAATGTGAATAAAACATACCTATATTTCACCTAATTTCACACTTTTTCCCTTTCCCTTTCCAAATCCATCCTCAAATCTCCCACCAAACACAGCTTAAGTGAAATATAAGTATATTTTATTCATATTTCACTTAACTTTTTCCTTTCTCTTTCCAAATCCCTTCTCAAATCCCTCCTCAAATCCTCTCACCAAACACAGCGTTAAAGTGGCCCGTTTGATTAATCCTAAAAGTAAAATGTGGAGAAGGGAGTTGGTTCAGTTTCTATTTCCACAACAGTTGGTGGATCATATCCTTCATATGCCTATTCCACAAGTTGAGTATACTGATAGGTTGGTTGGGAAATTTACTAAGCATGGGTAATATACAGTCAAGTCTGGGTATTTTTCGATATTAGATGATTGTGCTAACCGGACAGATAATGGTCCGATAGAAGTAAGGGGTTTTTGGAAGAAGCTATGGCGACTTCATTTGCCATCTAAGTGGACTCTTTTCATTTGGAAGTTGATGCATCGCGTTTTACCTGTTAGAACAATCCTAAGAAGTAGAGGAGTGGATTTGTCCACGGAATGTCCTAGATGCTTGCTGGAGGATGAATCCTTGGAACATCTATTTTTCCAGTGTTCAATTTCTATGGTGTGGGATGGAACTATGTTAAAAACAAACTCAATTTTGAGAACTGATCCTATTTCCTCTAAGGATACTGTTTCAGACTTGCATCATTATACCATTTATAATAATTCTTCTTGGTGTCTATATTTTTATTTTGATAGATTTCTCATCGATGGAGGATGGAACAAGCAGTCTCTTAGAGGAGGTGCAGCTTGGGTCGGGGTAGATTATCAAGGGCGACCGATTATCACAAGAAGGTTTTCCTTTCCTGCAACATCAGCCATTGTAGGGGAAGCCCGCGCATGTTGGGAAGTAGATAAATGGTGCAGGCTTAGTGGAATCAAAGCAATCAAGATTCAAACTGACTGTCAAGAGTTAGTACAACAGTTAAATGGCTCTTCTAAGGGTAGCTGGGATATAATGTATTTGGTAGAGGATATAAGATCTATGACTACTTTTTTTGATTATATAAGCATTGTAAAGGTTCCTAGGGTGCTAGTTCATGTAGCAAACTGGGAGGCCAAGGCAGCTGTTGGATGATGTGTTTGTTGTTTAAACCTTATGTGCGTTGTTAATGTATATCTCTATTTCATTTTTCACACACATTCATTGATAACAAGTCATATATACTCTGATGACTAAATTGAAATTGGCCCGGAGTGCCCACATCACAGGTGCATTTGCAAATTGGGAAAATAAATAAATCAAAATAGACAGTATTTTCAAAATTTAGGACTTCATTATCATGACTTGTCAAAGATAATCTAATGATGATATTTGGTTGCACATAAATACAAAAATTATGACTTGTGTCTAAGATAATCTAATGAGGATAGTTGGTTTCCCATTTTCCTGATGACTTGGGTTTGAATTCCATAGATCCCTTCTACTCACCTCGCCCTTTTAGTTTTTTCTTCTGCTTCTTCCGTTGATCCCGCAAGCCTAGACAAAAATACCAATTACCAGAAGTCAAAGATCAATCATCAAAAGTTTCCCCCTCCATGAGAATAGCAGTCGTCGGACTATATGTTTTATATATATATATAGAGAGAGAGAGAGGTAAATAGAAACTAACGTTTTTTGTCATCTTTTCTCTTTCTCCGTAAATTCTCTACATTCCTTCGTTTTTCTGCAATCTCTTTCAGATCCACGACCTGAGAATATGCAAGGGCAAAAATGAAAGTTGGAACTTGAAAACAGAGGGGAAATGCTGACTAAGAGATGACAAACAAGGGATATGCCGGAGATGAAGATTGCCATCTTACAAATAATTATATTTCAACAGAAGTACGGACATAGTTTCTGAATCCAGACACAATTAGTTTCCAGGAAATTCACTTCGGAATTATAGACTACGATAATTAATTTGAACATGCCAAGATCAACCAATGACTATGATCACGTGCATAACAAAAAGTAGTAAAACATGCATGCAATAAGCAAGCACATTATGGCCATATTTGGTACAGGTTATGGTGAAGCTTCAGCTAACAGCTAATGACGTAAGTTGAAAAAAAATTAATTACTGAGAAGTAGGAAGGGTTGTTTTTGGTTTTTTTTTTTTTTTTTTTTTTTTTCGATAACTTGGTATCCGGCCTCATTAACCAACTAATCCAAGGGACCAATCCTACCCTCCACTTGCGGGGGTCAAAATTAAAGCCAAGGCAAAAGCCCCGTATGGACTGGCCCCAAGAGGTTTGGAACCTGAGACCTTAGATGAAGCACACCCCCAAGTCCAAGCCTTAACCACCAAGCCAACTCATTGGGATTCTTTTAGCTTCCGCTTTCTAATTATTAGTTTTCAGCTTTGCAAGTTACACCAAACAGGCCCTATAACAGAAGCACCTAGGAGGCACAGTCAATATACATAGCATGTATCTTTAACAAAATAAAGCCTATACAACTCAACCCTCCATATTATTGACGTATCCAAAACATACACATTGCATTGCACTATCAATAATGTGATTCTCATTTGTTTATGTTAAGTATTAGTGTGTAAGGGTAGTTATGTCATTTGTTCATTTAGTCTTTTATTATAAGTATGTGTAACCCCAATATGTTTAATATTGAGAAAATATACAGCAGCAGTGCTCTCTTTTCTTCCTCTCATTCTTTTCTTTCTTTTATGCAAATCTAACAAGGTATCAGAACTTCATCTTCTTCCTTGAAGACTCTTCTCTTGTTCCTTGTTTCATTCACTGAAAAAAAAAAAAAAAAAAAATTCTTTCATGGTCGAAATTTGATGGGTTTTCATCCTAGATTTTTATTTTAATTTTTTGATGGGTGTTTTTTCAATTTTTGTTGATTTTTGGAAAAACTGATTGTTTTTTCGGAAGTCTCTGCAGGGGCTTGTTTTTAGCTGACTTTTTCCTTCCTCCCTCTACGTTGGGAGCCAACTGGAATTGTACTAGGGTTGGAAGACCTGGTTTTGATGATTTGGCAAGGTTCCACTCTATTTTTGTCAGTTTTCCTCAGTTACAGCACAGTTTCTCTCAGTTTCTGATTGTTTTTGGCCTCTCCAACCCATGTTTCGGCTCTGTTTTTGTCTCTAGAGGTAACTTTTGTTCCTAAGTTGAGTTTGTGGATTTGCCTCTGTTTGTTTTTACTATTTTTAGGCTGGTATTTATTTTCTATTGTGGGGATTTAATCTACAATGGCTAAGGGTGAGACTAAGGATATAATTAGTGATGAGGGTGGCTTGCGTCATGTTATTACTCTTACCGGCAGTCCCTCTCTTCAAATTACTCCCGTTAAATTGGATGGTTCCAACTATTTAATTTGGTCACGTTCCTATAATCTTGCTATTGCTGCTCACCATTTGACTGGCATGTACTCAATGGATTTCTAAAAATGCTCTTGTTATGACTCGGCTAATCAACTCTATACAGCCCACCATTAGTCGGAATTTTCTCTTATTAGATACTGCTCATAAGATTTGGACAGCTGCAGCCCCAATGTACTCCCAACAGGGTAATGATGCACAGGCGTATGAGTTGAGGAAGAAGCTTCGGAGCTTAGATCAGAAAGATAGATCACTTGCAGTTTACTATGCTGAGTTGAGTAGTTTGTGGTAGGAACTAAACTATTACCAAAGCTTCCAAGCTGTTTGTTCTCGGAATGCCACCTTGTTTCAGCAAACAGTGGAGAAGGAGTGCGTCTATGACTTTCTTGCAAGCTTGAACTTGGAGTATGATCAGATTCGCGTCCAAGTGTTAGGTCGTTCACCTTTTCCCACCCTACGCGAGGCTTACGCCCTTGTCCAGCAAGAGGAGAGTCGACTTAGTGTTATGGTTCATTCCTCTATTCAGGATCGTTCTGCTTTAGTTGTTTTGCTCCTCCTACTCAAGCTCCTTGGCCTAGTCTAGTTCAGTCTGGGAGTTAGGGTACACTAGTTGATTAAGATCGCTTGAAGTGTGATTTTTGTGGAAAAGACAGACATGATTGAGAGCATTGTTGGAAACTGAATGGTCGCCCTACTCGGGGTCGAGGCCGTGGTAGTACAGCTCGTCCCCAAGCATATATGTCTGAGATTGCTGTTAGTCCTCCTTCTGAGCCTAACACTCCTTCCCAGGATGAGTTACACACTCAAGCTTTTGATGGCTCGACTTGACTCTCCTTCTACCACAACTTCTTCCATTTCCGCTTCTTTCAATTTTACCAACACAAGTATTCCTGCTAGTGCTCTTGGTACCTTCTCATCGCCTTCTTGGATTATTGATTCAAGTGCCACCGACCACATGACAGGTGTCTCTAGTCTTGTCTTTTCTATTCTTATTCTCCTTGTTCCGGCCGAGACAAGGTTCAAGTGGCTTATAGCACTTTATCCTCTGTCTCTGGCAAGGGTTTGGTTCATTGTTCATCTTTGCTTTCTCTTTCATCCATGCTTCATGTTCCTACTTTTTCCACTAACTTACTTTCTGTTAGTAGTCTTACTACTTCCCTAAATTGCTCAGTGACATTTTTTCTTACTCATTGTGTCTTTCAGGACCTGGCTAGTGGGAAAATGAATGGCAATTGTAGAGCACAAGATGGGTTGTACTTTCTAGAAGTCATTCTCCTGTCATCCCATCTCAGACTCTCAAGTGCACTACTGGCTCTCTTCTTTATCTCCTTCATCAGTGGCATCGCCGTTTGGGTCATCCTTCCTTTAGTGTCTTAGAGAAACTTTTTCCTTCTTTAGTTCGTGATTGTCCTAGGAGTATTTTTGGTTGTGATGCTTGTGAGCTTGCAAAGCATAAACGTACTTGTTACCCTTCAATTAATAAAAAAAATACTTTTCCTTTTATGCTTATTCATACCAATGTGTGGGGGCCTTCCCCTGTGGTTTCTACTACTGGGTATCGATGGTTTGTTACATTTATTAATTGTTATTCCCGTGTGACTTGGATTTACTTGCTTTGAACTAAGAGTGAAGTTTTTTCTTGTTTCCAAACTTTTCATAAAATAGTGACCAATCTTTTTAATGCTCAAATCAAAATTCTTCGTAGTGATAAGTATGTTGATAGAGCTTTTCGAGCATACCTAGAGGAGCATGGCATCCTTTATCAAACTAGTTATGTTGGTACTCCTCAGCAAAATGGGGTTGCCGAACGCAAGAATGGCCATCTTCATGAAATTGCTTGCTCTCTCTTGTTTACCATGAATGTCCCTAAATCATTTTGGGGTGGTGATGTTCTTACCGCTGCTTACCTTATCAACCGTATGCCTTCCAGTGTCCTCCAATTCCAGATTCCTCTTCAACTGCTTCCTGTAGCATATCCCACCTCCTCTCTTCGGCCTCGTTTGGCAACAGGCCGGTTTAGTCAAAAAGCCAAAAAGTTACTAAAAAAGTCAAAAAGCCAACAACCCATACTAAAAAGTCAAAGATTCTCTTTTCTCTATACTTTTTGCACATCTTTTCGTAAAAAGTAAAAAAGTTATCCCAAACATACTAGTTTTTTTTAGCTCATATTTTAGCCAAATAACCAAAAAGTTACTAAATTAGCCTGTTCCCAAACGAGGCCTTCCTCCTCACATGTTTGGTGTGTCTGTTTTGTTCATTTGCAACGTCATACTTGTGGGAAACTTGATCCTAAGGCTATACGTTATGTCTTTATTGGTTATTCTGCTACTCAGAAGGGTTACTGTTAAAATGTACCAAAACCTACCACTACACCTACTCCACCCACTTCACCTACTCCACCTACTACGGTAATGTAGAGCAAGTGGGTCCCAACCAGAACCTAAGCACTGATTCTCTCTCTCCATATACATCCCCCACCCCATTTTACTTTTCTTCTCTTATTTCTTTATTTTTTCTTTTACTTCCTTTACCACCACTCACCCATGTGATCCACTCCACCAAAAACAAATAAAGCATCCTCTCTTCTATATATAGGAATCATTGTAACATTCAATAAATTAACAATTACATACATCAATCAATAATACATACAATTTATTCTCTCTCTATCAATTTATTTTTACATGGTATCAGAGCTATACGATTTAGGCCTATACTCCTTTCTTTCCGGCGGGCAGCCGGCCGGCAACCTTGCCTTCGCTGCCCGCGGGAGTTTTTCAACACATACCACAAACACATACCAGAAACTCTTCTTTCTTTGTTTCCTCATCTTCATCGTCACTAATTTCTTTCTCTGTGGTCTTCTCTGTCCAGAGGTAGATTGGGTAGCTAATGAACTCAGAGTGCTTCTTCACAAGTTCCTTCAGTTGATGTCTGTTCAGAACATTCAGATTGGCCATGAAAGCACTCTGTGCTTGTCCCTGACCACTGTTGCTTATAAGCCTCAATCGCTTGAGCCACAAGCTCTAAACACAGAGGAAGCTCGCGCTGGAACACCTGAATCTTACGATGCTCCTCTTGACGAGCCTCAATATATTCTTGAAATTTCTGCATTTCTGCATCGCCTTCCGCCACCACTCCGCCGCCGTGCTTGCTTTCTACTTCTTGAGCGTCTCACAGATTCCCTGTTCGAAACCATTCTTTTCATGCGTTTTACCTCAATAGTCGGTTCGGTGCTCTGTTCACAAGGACCAGCTTCTGTCTCTGGCTCCTCATCATCTCGATCGTTGTGTCTCTCTCTCTCTCATATTTTCACTTTCACACCCACAATCTTTTTTTTAATATTTCAGCCTTTTCCTTATTTTTTAT